TTTCTTCTCACCCTTGTGGAATTAGGGAGGGCCTCCCCGAACGACTTCCCTTGGGCTTAGCTATTTAGTTGATCTTAAAAGTGTCTTATACACTTTTCGCGAGTCTACTCTAGCGTTACTTCCTTTCAGACGGGGTACAGTGGGTTATCTGGAATAGGAGCAATAGGCGACTGCCCAGCTTGCCTTGACGAAATCTGTCCGATCTTCTCTACCAAACCTATTAGTATTTGCCGTTAGTCCTGTTAATTTGCACTATTTGCTTTCAGATAATGAGGTATTTCCTAAGAAGAAGGATGACATCGTTTTTTTTTTACTTTTTATTGTATTTTCTTGTAAATTTCATTTATTTTTTTGTATTTTTCTTTCAGGTATTTCGCTTTTTATTGTATAAACTGTTGAATTACCAAAAATATGTAATTGTAGCTTAAACTGATAGGTAAAACTTTTCTAAATTGATTTTTTGGCATAAATGTTAAAACCAAATTAAATACTTGTTATCACGTTCATAATTAATATTGATTTGGGTGGATAGGGTGGCTATAAGGGGAGATGTGGAGGCCACAGAGAGTTAGTGCGCATTTTTGTCCCAAATGTAGTATTTCAATGGTAATTCAACAGCTTATAAATAACTAGTAAATGTAATAATTAGAATGATGCATTATTTATCGGATATTTTGTGTATGTTATGTATTATGCTGTTATTTGAAATAAATATGTTTGTTGTAATAAATGTAAATTATGTGTCTAAATAATAAATGAATTATCATTGTATTATCATTGTTTTGGTGATGAAATAAATAAATAAGTAAATAAATTTTGTGTTTTTAATTTCATCCATGTTTTCTTGAAAGCCCATGTACGCAGACAAAAATAAACTCTAAAGGATCATTAATATGTTTAAAAAGCAAAGAAATTATATTAATTTTGGTATTACTAGCGCCATCATACCGTTAGGAGCTAAATTAAAGTCGATCCCGCGCTGCAACCGCGAATCCAGAAAAAGATCTCATGCGACTTATGCTCTCCTAATACAAATGTTCAAATTTATGAAAATTTTCAGTTTCGCGACATATACGAGGTCCGATTAAAAAATAATTGACCTATCAAAGCTTGAAATTTCCGCTCTGAAACCGCGAATCCAGAAAAAGATCTCATGCGCCTTATGCTCTCCTAATACAAATGTTCAAATTTACGAAAATTTTCAGTTTCGGGACATATATTTTCAAGTTTCGATTGGTTAATTATTTTTTAATCGGACCTCGTATATGTCGCGAAATTGAAAATTTTCATAAATTTGAACATTTGTATTAGGAGAGCATAAGACGCATGAGATCTTTTTCTGGATTCGCGGTTTCAGCGCGGGAACAACTTAATATAGTAGTTTTCCGTCGGTTTCTCAACAAAATTCAGCTCCTTAGCGTAAGAGGGCGCTGTTTATACCAAAATTATAGGAAATTTAAGGAATTTAAATTCTTCAAGTTAATAAATATGAATTATATGTATTTCTCAACAAATGACATATTTTCATTTGACTTACACTCATTAATTTTTGATACTGTTCTTATAAAGACCCAACAGTTTAGTTAAATGCAGTTAGTAGAATATTAGATTATGAAGTAGGGAAACCGTAATCTTTTTTTTTTGTAAAATAAACGCAAAGCTGTTTATATTAAAACAAATTTATTTCATACTTCTATTACACATCATTTACAATTTATTTACAATTTATATTAAGATAGAATTTGTTTAAGAAAACATTTCTTTTTGCAAATTAATAGTATTTATAATAAAAAAAAATACAATGCATGTTAAGATGTAGTTAGGTACGAATTTTATTAACAAAAGCTCAAAAACTATATTTCTAACAAAACAATAAATTACATTAACAAAATCTGGACATTTTAAATAATTTGCAACTTTTAACAATGTATAAAC